AAATGACTTCTAGAAATAAATTATTACTCTGAAATATTTTGAGTAAATTCTCAGAATAGTACTCAGTAATTATATGTTTTTCTAAATTAGTCATCAAAACTACATAATTCTCTAAATGGTACTTGATAATTGAGAATATACTCAGTTCAGTCCCCTAGACTAACGGTCGTTAAAACGGCGTTAAAAAGACGGTAAACCTTATACTAATTTTTTAAAAATGTACTTTCTAACCGGATGTTTTCTTAAACTGGTCCATTTTTTAAATAAAAGTACATTTATTGTGGAAAATTATTTTTAATTTTATAGGATAATAATATAATACTAAAAACTATAAATATAATTTAATAAATTTGAAAGTAACGTGTTAGATTATTTATAGTTGTTTAAAAGAATATCATGTAAACAAAATACTTAATAAACATTGAAAAATCACCCTAAATATGAGTAAAACATAGAGAAATAGCTCCTATTTTGGTATTTCCTTTATGTTTTACTCCTATTAAAATTTTAGGGTGATTTTTTAACGATTATTAAATATTTTATTCACATGTTATTCTTTTAAATAATTATAAATAATTGAAAATATTTACTTTCAACTTTATAAGGTTTTATTTGTAGTTTTAAGTATTGTATTGTTATCTTATAGAATTTAAAATATTTTTCCATAATTAATGTATTTTTATTTTGAGAATTGATCCATTTGAGAAAACACCCAGTTTGAAAGTACTCTTTCTGTCCATGAGTATGTGTTTACTTTTGACTTTTATCGGTCAAAATTGACAAAATTTGATCTCAAATAAAACAAAAGTGATATTAGATATTGATACAAAAATAATTTTATTAGATTTATTTTATAAAATATTTTCAAAATATTATTTTATGAAATTAATATTCAATATATATTTTATTTAATTATAAGTCAAATATTAAAAACGATTGACTACAAAAAATTAAAAGTAGACAAATACTCAAGAACGAGAGTATTGCCACTTTGGGAAAGTAGTATAAAGTTTAACCTCGTTTTAACGTTGTTTTAACGGTCGTTAGTCGAGGGACTGAACTGAGCATTATTTTCAATTAACGAGTAACCTCTTGAGAGTTAGTTAATTTTGGAACTAATTTGAGAAAACACATAGTTAGAGAGTACTATTTTGAGAATTCACTCTTCCCTTTTTGGTGGTTAAACCTAGGAGAGAGTATGATATGAAAACTTTTTACTCCCTCCGTCCCACTGTCTTTGTCCACTTACCTTTTGGCACACCATCCAATGTACTTCTTTAATCCATTTTATCTTGTAATTTGTATATTAAAAAATTATAAAAATTATATATTAATAATCTATATGTTAAGACGAATCAAACAAGATCACACATGACTATTTTTAGGCTTACACATTGAGAGAATTTGATGAGTCAAAGTTCTTAGATGAACAGTTCCAAAAGTCAAAACTGGACAAAGACAATGGGACGGAGGTAGTAATATTTATTTGGTTCATTCTTATGAAAAAATGAATAATTCTATAAATAAACAACAAAACCCCTAATTTCTAAAAACCCTACTTTCTAGAATACTAGTATATTAACCCGTGTCATGCACGGGATCGAACGCAATTTTTTTCGATTCTAAGTTTTTTCAACGTAATATATTTTCTGAATTCAAGTAAATATATTTCTAACATAATTTTTAATTAATGAACTACAACGACAAAGTAGAATAAATTATATTTGAGGAATTGAAAATGTGCTCAAATTTTTTTTAATTCCAAATTTTTTGAAAGACTTCAAGGTACAGAACATTTTTGATATGGTTGTAAGGATTTCCATTGTCATCTAGAACTAATATATTTAATCATGTCTTTGTCTCTACTCGTGAAAGAGTAACAGCTGACCATGAGTAAATACGGAATTAGGAAAAAATAATACAACAAAAGACAAGTTTGACCTTAAATTTTGTTAATAGTCATAACAAAACATAAGACTATTGATAATTTTTTCCCCTAGAATTTTAGGGGTACTCCTAAATCAGATGGTACCAAATTCATTCGGGGTATGTAAACCTTTTTTCGCTTTTGATTTCTTGAAATCTCAATTGCACTGATAATGTTCTTTCATAGTTATTTAATGATTAATCTTCTATCATTACACAATTCAAATGTTTGGTCAATGTTTTTCAATGTACCCCCCTTTTTAAAAACTATTTTGTGGTTTGGGGTCCCCGAATATGCATTTGATTTCATTAACAAAAATTCAACTGTTATACAATCATCTTCAACATCTACATCAAAATATGTTTGGCATGAAGAATCAGAATTTAAGTACTCATTTTCACCTTCTAGAATAAGGGATAGGACAAATTCATTTACCATTCAACAGACTCGAGCGTGGGAGTTAATAGTGCACTGTCCTCAAAAAAGAATAATTTTTATGTTCTCTAATAGGTTTGGATAAGTGAAGTCCACTACACTCTTGAGAGGATAACTTGTTTCAAGAATCAAGAATTCAAACAGGATTTCAATGTTAGTAGTTCCACCAATCACTTGTTCAAGTTTTTCATCTTCGACTTTGATTATCCAATCAGAAAAACTTGTGTCCCTATCTATGCAAGAGGGTGTAGATAAATGCAATCTCTTATTTCTGGTCAACATATAAACTTTACAATACAATTCAACCACATTTGTGAAGAATTGGTGGTAGCACCTACAATTTCATCTATCAAAGCTATGAGTAAAACTTGAAAAATTTAGAAAAAATCACCTCTAACTACAACGGTTTTCTCTCCGAATGGTTCAAATATGAAATTATTATAGAACCCCATTACATCTCTCATTATGAAATTCAATGACTCAAAAATAAATTTATTCATCATTGATGATTAATCCCATTCGATTAAACTTGTTGGATTATGTCTACTTTCGAGCTCCCTTGTTTTGATGGCACACGATGAGCACTCGTTTTGCGACATAGAAATTAAAAATCTCGAGTATATTGTCATTCTCCTAGGAAAAAGCAATGCTACAATGCAGTTGGATGCAACATTCAAGACAACCTTACCATTTGACCTCAGAGAAGCAGGCAATAATTTCTAGAGAAATATTTTTCCAGTTCCGCTGTAACCATGCACAAAAAAATTTCCTCTTTTAGTTTTCACGACTTCCATTATTTTATTAGATATATTCTACTGATCTTCATCTATCGTACATAAATATCCTCTAAGATCAAATAAATGAATACTTTTCTTTGTCATAGTTCAACTCCTTTACCAAGAAAACATTTTGATATCTATTAAGTGGATTGTCATCTCAAAATGGCATGCAACTGAATTCTTTTAAAGACCATTCAATTCAATTGAGCAAATTTTCTATCTCAATTAGACATAAATTCTTTAGGTCTTCTTGTGAGATTACAAGTTCTGCAAAAAAAAGTATAAAATTTTGTTTCTATGCAGTGTTCAATTAAAAAATTTTATTTTCACATAATGCATTTCATATGAATTAATACGTTAAAAAAACTATCTTTATATTGAAATATTTTGATTTCGAAATATTCTCCGCCGATCAAATAAAATTCCATCCACCAGGTGTTCCTAAAATTTTTCCAAAACAATTTGTAAGTGACTCATGGTACTTGTCACTAATAATGTGACGAACAACTTTCTTAGCAGATTCTCAGATCCTAATTTAGTCACCTTTTTTATATCTTTAGTAAATTCTTTATCATCATTCAATAATTAACCTCAATGCTTCACATGCTTTTTCGAAGATAATATTCCCACAAATTGTATATATAAAGAAGTCTTTCGAAATTTGTAAAACAGTGATGTTTTATACCTTAAAATAATATAATCTCTATATTCTATTACATCTCATTTTTTATCATTGAAAAATGATTTAAATTTAATAACATAAAAATGACTCGTGCAAAGCACGAGTGTGATACTAGTGACATCAGTGCTGATTCAAAAGATGACACGAACCGATAAGGATATCAAATTTTCAATAATGGTATGCCTGGTTGCAATGTAAACTCCGTAAGTGGTTTTTTAATCTAAGTTAAAAACGTAGTAGTTATTACTCATCAAAGTCATCAGTCATCATCATTAATTATTTTTCGATTCGTATTAGAGTATTTATTAATTTTAATTTTTCACCGTCAATTGTGATTATTTTTTACTTATATAATTAAATATGGAACAAAAATTAAATGACATATTAATTAGATTAAATAGTATTTTAAAGATATTTTACATGATAAAACTAATAAAATTATTCTCTTGCTAGTATCTAATATAAATTTTATTTAACTAATTGCCAAAGTTTTTCATTTTTTTACCATAAACAATAAAAATTAGACAAATACTATGGGATGACACTAGTATTACTTTTTTCCCAAAAAATTATCTTCTTTCGAATAACATGTAAAATTTTTAATGTTAAGAGGTAAATAATGCAATTTGCAAAAAAGTTTGAAAGTAAACGATACACTTTTTCGATCTCTTTGATTTAACGTTGATGTGATGTGATTGAAATAAGAGAGGGTGCAAAAAATATGAGTAAAAAATGATTGACAAAGGATGAATGATATGTACTGAAAATTTGATATAATAGTCGACAAGTCGTGTATAAAAGTGATTGAGAATGTGGCGAATTATATTATTATTGGTAGATTGGTTATGCCATGCAAAAAAAAGAAATATGACTCTAGTTTTAGGCTATTAAGGTCATGTTTTTTTCACCTGGTCTGATTCGTTCTCATCTGAATGGAATATGTTCTGACTTGGTCTGAGCTAAATGTAGTTAAAACTATTTTTGCTTTGACTACTCTGATTAGATTCCAATAAAAATAAGGGATTGGGAATTTCTTCCGTACCCAAAGAAATAAGGGGGCATGCATGCCCCTCCACCCAATTCTTGCCACGTGTATTAGTTTTCAGAAATTGCATATATCCCCTGCTTCTCTACTTGCGTTAACTCTCTTCCCTTCTCCCGTTTCCGTTTATTAAACACTAGGTCAACATTTATTTTTTCATTCGGTTCTTTCCCAACTCAGATGTAGGCACGCAACGCTGCTACTATGGATCTCCGGCTCAGAAGAAGTGGCTCCCTCGATCGCCGACCGCCATATGATCTATTTCTTCTTACCCACTCTCAAAGGTAATTGTTTCCTCTCAATTTGTTGATCTTTATTTCTGCAATTCAATTTCCAACCCTAATATCTAGCATAATTACTGCTTAAATCTCTGGGTGGAACGTTCCCCGATGTTAATCCACTTAAATTTGTGGGCGGATTGATCAAATCTCAAAGAAGGGATAATTGATATGTTAATTCAGGGTGGAACGATCCCCGATGGCAGTCATTAAAATTTGCATGTTAAAAAAGGTTCGAATCTCAATGAAGGACAATTGGCTACTCCTTAGATAATTGATGTTGTATTTTGAAATTAGTAATTTTATAAATTAAAAAAACCGGACAGAAGTTTCTAGCCATTTTGAGCATTTTCCTGATACCTTAAATTTGCTTTAAATTCGTGAATTAGATTGTTGAATTTGTTTGTTTAACCATTCAAAATTCAGATTTTATATTGTTACGAGTAGCTATTTTTTTCTTCTTTGGGATTTGGTAATAGTTTTTTCTTCTGTGTAAATCCAAATTTGAGCTTCTAAAAAGTAGTCACTTTTTCCTTTGACATTTTGGCAGTCTTGGATTTGGCAATTATGTACTTTGATATAACCTTATTTTCGCAAAAAAATGGCATATGTATTCTTAAAAGTTAACAAGATAGTAGAGTATTATTTTTTAGGTATGGAGGGAGTATGTTTTCTATTTCATTGTTTGTTTGTTTGATTGCTTGTGTGTTCAGGATTAATGTAACAACAAGTGTTTGCGTTTTTTCACACTAACAAATAAACTAGTTATCAGCTTAAATTTTTGATCTATTTGTTTTCATCTTTGTAAAGGAGTCCCAATGTCTTATCTTCATTGTAGCTTAAAATCCAGGTATGAGCTTAACTTGTTCTTCTTTGTTTGTTGGGATTTTTCAGGTATCCTTTTTGAATGCTATTTTTTTTTTAAAATTTGTTTTTGGAAATTGCAAGTGTGAAATAGTCCGTAGTAAAGAATGGTATGTAGAAATGTTTGAATGTTTGATTTTCCCATATTCTGGTTTACAAGAAATGTTTTATTTTTTCCCTTTTGGTTTGTGAATTCATACTTTTTATCCCAGTCATGTCAGGCCTTATCAAATTAAGTTGATTAATGTAATTCAGGTGTTTGGATACGCTTGAACCTTAGTGATTTACTATCATGGAATAATGGCTGAGGTTCCTTCACAGAAGTTCTATCCCCACACGCCGCTGCCCAATACCCTACCCCTAGCTTCCCTAAACTGACTTGGCATACTTCGGAGCTGGAGTCTGCCTGCTGTTTTTGTGTTTGTGCAAGGCTGCTGTTTGGTGGGCCAAACGAGGAGGGGGGCTACCTTTCTCCTCATGGGCTGACTATGCTGGTTTTGGTGTTACTTAACGTTGGGGCCATGGTAAAAGGAACTGGGCAGGGGCAATCCTCTGGGAGGCATTTATGGCAGCGGGGCTGCACCCTCCTCACACCATTGGCCTTGGGCCTTGGCTTCCTTTTGGGCCAAGAATTTTGGATGAGTCTTTACATCTCAAGCCCGGTCTTATGGTGGATATTTGCACTAAACGCCATCCCGTCTCTGTACGGCCGATGTTTCTCTGTCGTTTTGGTAATGGTGTCTCCTCTGGCCTAGGGTATGGCACTTCAAAACCGAGGGTGAACCTGAAGATCCTAGCTTTGCTGAGGGATATGTTAATGCAGTGGCAGGCATTGACGCTAGTGACCCTTCCGTTTTGGTGTCTTGATGATTAGTAAAGCTCTCAAGACTTTTGGCGTGAGATAGAGGGAGTATTATTTTGTTGTCTGCTTGCCCAGTATTTTTGGAATTTTTTAAGAGCAACACAACTAGTGAAGTACTTCATTTGTTTAAAAATTTGGGTCGTGTAATTGGTGGGCTCATTCCTTCACTACATTTTTTCCAATTTGTATGTGGATAAATAAATACATAGTATTATTTAGTTTTTTGGGCCTCATAATTAGTTTTTTTACGTCCAATTTTCATGAATGTATTCGCTGAAATGTTCTTAATTAGGCTCCGTTCTGTTCAACTTATTTTTTCTGATCTGATCTGATTATAATAAGTTTTGGTCTGATCTGATTGGATCTAATCTGGTCTGATTTGATTGGATCTGATCTGGTATGATCTGATTGGATCTGATCATATTATAATATAATCAATATTTTTTATTTAATGATTATTTTTTAATAAAATAAAATTAGTTAATTCATATATTAGAATAATCTTTCATATTATAATGTAAAAATATTTTTTATTTTATGATTATTTTTTTGTGAAATTAGAATATTAATTTAATATTTTAACAATTAATCATATATATACATTAGAATAAATATTTAATTTATATATACATTAAAAAGTAATTAAATTTAGATAACCAATATATAAAAGATATAATATTTTTATTAAAATATCTCATCCTTATAAAAGATCAAACCTTTAGAAACTCAAATTACAAGTAGCAATAAAAATATATTTTAAAAGTAGAATTAGATTGACATTGTCAATGTATTTTAAAACTAATTTTTCAGACGTCTAATAATTAATGATTAATTTCTCAGTTTTCTATTTAACCTGTTTCTAAAGTTTATTATTTTTCATTTTTAAGAATAATAATAATAATAATAATAATATAATAATAATAATAATAATAATAATAATAATTCTTGATGGGATTTGATTTTAATAAGTTCTGATCTGATCTGATTGGATCTGATCTGATTTGTTCTGATTGGATTTGATCTTAGGGTGGGCAAAAAAACCGAACTAGCATGGTACCGTACCGGACCATAATGGTACCGAACCGTTTATAGTGTTTTCAAACAGGATTTTTTCATCACAAACCGAAACCGAACCGACACCAAATGGGACGGGACCGTGATACAAATATTTAAAACCGATTATCACGATCCGAACCGCCAACACTATATACGGAGTACATATCTCAAATAATTATGGAGTATATGTCTACTTCATCTTACCGTGTATAGAGTACTTCGTATTTTATTATTCATTTTTAAACTCTCTCATTATTATTTTTGTTATTATATTTATCATTACTATTGGCATTATTTTTTTTATAGTTATTAGTATTCCGATATTATATGAATTCGAAAAAAAATTATTTTTTAACTTTGGACTCGTTATCTTTTATTTCTTTATGTTTATGATTGGTTTAAATTTGAGATCAATACTTTTATTTAACATTCTTGTACTTTTTTATACATATTTATATGTTAAATTCAATATTCTGTAAGTAATGTACGTTCATTTTTTTGGCACGGTTTGAGCATGGGTATGGTATTGTACCGTTCCGTTTCAAAACGGAATGGTACCGAATGGTTTTGGAGTTCATCCCGTACCGATACCGAACCGTTTAAATAATAGCGGTCCGTGATAGGTTCCGGTAGTATCACGGACCATCACGGACCGCGCCCACCCCTATCTGATCTGATTCGATCTGATCTGATCTGGTCTGATCTGATTTTAATAAAAATAAGAAAAAATAAGAAAAAATAAGTTGAACGGAACGGGGCCTTACTCTTGAATTAATTAATGTTTTGTTTTGTATATGGAATTTTACCAATAAAATTAAAAATTTTAATTCTAATTCTATTGTTTCGTAACACAAAAGTATGTAGATTTGAATTGAAAAAAGAATTTCAAATTTCTAATTTCATATTTTCACATTTAGCGCCTGTTGCGTAGGACTTATATTTTCTCAGTTTTACTCATTCTTATTCAAATTAGATTAAATAATATCAGACCTAATCAGATTACATCAGATCCAAATAGATCAGACCAGATCCAGTCAGATAAGATCGCTTCAAATCAAATCTCATTAGATCCAATAAGATCAGATCAGACCCAATTAGATTAGATCATACCCAATCAGATCAGATCAGATGCAATCATATCAGATCAAACCTAATGAGATCATATCACACCTAAGCAGATTAGATCAAATCCAATCTGATCAGATTCAATCGGATCATATCAGACCTAATCAGATGAGATAAAATCAAAACTTTAAAAATTCAGATCAGATTCAATCAGAACAGGCCTACGAAAAAGAGCCTTATGAGGGGGTGCATATAGTTCCTAAAATGCTAGACAACATTCACTAATAATAATAATAATAATAAGAATATTAGTAATAATAATATTAGTAATAATAATAATAATAATAATAATAATAATAATAATAATAATAATAATAATAATAATAATAATAATAATAATAATAATAACAACAACAACAATGATGGTGATCAAGATGATGACAATGATGATGATGATAAAAATAAAAATGATAATAATAATAATCATTATAATGATGACGATGATGATGATCATGATAATGATGATGATGATAATGCTAATAATAATAGTAGTAGTAGTAATAATAATAATAATAATAATAATAATAATAATAATAATATTATTATTATTATTATTATTATTACGGTTCGGGTTCGTATCGTTTTGTGTTTATATCGTTCTGGCTGTAATCGTTTCACGTAGAATTGGATTGGGTTGTCAATTTAGTTTCTTATGAGGTCGTTAACGAATTTGCAGGTACGTTGTGTTTATTGTGAAACATATCATATATGCAATACAATTTTGGTTAGTATGTGGCTGAATACTGAAGATACTAACTTAACAAAGTATATTATTAATAATAATAACAAGAACAACAACGATAATACTAATAGCGAGATAATTATAAGTATAATTTTAATAATAATTATACGAACGCTCTTAAGAGTGATAATAATAATGATAATAAAAATATTTAAAATAATAAAAATAATAATAAGAATAATAATGAATAATAATAATAATAATAAAGTAATTATGTTGTATAATAATTTTAATTTTTATTAAAATCATATCATGATTCAATCAATTCAAATTCTTCAGCTCTTACGCGTAAATTAAATACATGCCATTGGGGGTACTACTTGAATTCTTATTTCGATATGTTCGATTCAGGTTTCTTTAAGATATATGCTATAATCGAATTGGCTTGCTTTAACTGCGCTCAAAGTTAAGTTTGATCTTATTTTTCCGGTTTCGGTGTAGTTTTGGTTCAGGCTTGTTCCGTTTCGGTTCTCGTTAGTCTTTTTTCCCTTTGTATTTTTGTTAGACATGACAAAACAAAACCGGAAGCGATTACCCAAACCAACGTCTCAACTCGAAACCGATTAGGCTAGATCTGTTTCCGATAATACCCAAAATTGATAATACCCAAAACTGATTAGATCAGAAATTGGTAATATCAAAAATAGATTAGAAGTTAAACCAAAAAAGTCGGAAACTATGTTTGCCTTCCAATAAGTAGTAACCGAAATTAAACCAATCCAACCCGAATAAAATTGATTAGAACACTTATACGAAAGATATTTGAACCCATAAAATCCAAGCCGAAGCTGATCCGATTCCCCATTTGCACCTCTAATTTTTGTAGGAGGAATTTTTATTTTAATTAAACAAACCTAAATCCTAAACTGACTAGGAGAAGCATAACCAGTCCCTGCGTCCTATGCTCCGCCACAGATTCAGATTTCTTCATTAGGGTTCGAAGACAAAATCCTACCAGCTCTTGGACTCAATCTGAATAGATTTCTTCAGATTTCTATTCATGAAGGACATTATAAATACTCCTTATACGGAACCTTTATACGATTTTCACCATCCATCGCCAAGACCCAGGCTTCACCTTCCTCCTAATTTAATAGGTAATCCTGGTTCTCATAATCTTCACATCTTTTCGATTCATGGTAATTTCATTTATTTCAATCGATGTATACACAATTATTTTCTATATGAATCAAAGGTTAGTGGTAATTTTATTGATTTTTTTATTGTGTGGAATATATTATTTTTGTGTAAAGACAAACATAGTAAGCAATTAAGTACTGTGTTTCCACTTGTTTTAATGGTAGATGAGCATTACTGATTATGGTAAAAGCTGCAAATCGTAATAAAAAGTTGTTGGGTTAATAGTCACAGTTGTTCACTACCTTGTATAAGTTTACTACTTCAAAGGATATTTCAATTTTTTCGAAAAACATTATACTCTATTAATGACTTAATATTAATAGTCCAGAAAAGAATATGGTAAGGAAGCATAGATATGTCATCTCTAACCCTTTTTAAAAATTTGCACTAACTATTGTGTACTTTGTGTTCTCTTTCATATCAAAGGTTACAAAAGAAGATTTTTTATTCCTTAAGGAGTCAGTAAATGAGATGTCCAAAGTGGTGACCAATCTTCATGAGATAGTAATGCAGAGTCATTCTACAAGCCGTCAACACATAGGTACACCTAAGAAAAGCTCAGTACATGATGATAAGTATATGGTGCAAAGTAGTTGCAGGCAATTGTTTGTTCCTCGTGCAAGAGCAAAGTCAACAGATTGTTATATTAACTATAATCGGATGAGCACCCCGTTGTATGATGGGAGGTCAAAAGGGATAAGCATACCCGAAGTAAGTATTCTAAGACATTTCTAAGCACACTCATAAGCATTTTAAGCGTACACATACAAACATCTCTCGAAATATGTCAATGAAATAATTATACATTACTGCTATTAGAGCACATGCCTTGACCCCTTACAAAGAACATTATTGACCAAAAAGTGACAAAAACTTCAAATTCCTAAATGCACAAAATCAAATCTCTAGTATATTACCAACAAATGCTGCTATATTATCTCAATGACCTTAGAGAACTTGCGTTATAACTAGTTTTCTTGTAGTGGATACTGATTCTTTTCAGGCCTCCGACAAGGATGATTTTAAATGAGGTGGAAGCTGGAATTGTTGCACATGTTTTTGGCCGCAATAAAGATTTTGATAGGTACAAGTTCTGAACACTCATATAGATTCGTATTACGCTTTAATGGTACAATGCTTAAGACTGATTCGTGTACCCCTTTATTAGTAATCTTATTATTAGTATTATTAAAACAAACTTTAAAATTTATGTTTAAAATGCAATGTTTATGCAGATATTTGTACCTATTAATGATGGAAAGTTTCACTGGTTTCTCCTCGTCATTGATATTATAAGAAAAGAGCTAACTTTGTTAGATTCTTTAAAAAGCCCATTGACATTCGACGAAAGGAAGAGGATTGTACGCTTACTGGTAAAAAAACTGCATTCGCATAATAATGATTTATAATTTCAGTTTTTAATCAACATTTAATAAGTTAAATAATGTGTTTAGGCAATATTTATGGAACAAATGTTGGAGGATAAATCTTTTTACCACCTGGCACCGAGAAACCAAAAGTATCAGACTTTGCTATTGTGGAGCCAAAAAGTATAGGTCAACAAGCACCAGGCTCGTGAGTGAACTTGTCTTACATCTCTTTTTTCTTCTTTAATTTAATAAAGAGTATACATAATCGTAATCTTTTAATATGTTGTTTTAGAAATGATTGTGGAATTTGGGTGGCAACTTGGATGAACGAATGTATATGGGATGAAGCATATAACATACAGGTAACAGGTATGATACCCCCTAAATTAGAATATAAGAAATCAAATTTCTAAAATGAGAACATTTTGCCTTTTAAGTTTTTTTTTTTGTTCGTGAGTAGTTTTCATCAGTTTTTAAACATTCTACTGCAGGTCAACACAGAAACCAGGATGCGCCTTGCAATAGATTTGGTCAATCATCCGTACAAGAAGAAGAATGATGAAGTAATAGCACTTTTAATGCGGAATTGGGAGAGTCTAGATAGAGAAAACAAGAAGCTTGTGAAAATCACAGTATAGTGAACTTCATATTAGTAGTTTTATTGCTTTGTTTTCCATTGAGCAATCATAAACTTAGTTATTTTTTCCGGGGGGGGGGGTATCAATTATGAATTGTAAACTAAAATTTAGACGTTTATCAAATATTAGACTGATTTGATATTTGTATGTTTTCTAATATCTTTATTATATGGTTAATTAATACTTAGTATTGGTTATTGTTAGAATTTTTTTGTAGAGAAGGAATTTCGTATGAATACTAGGGAAGTCACTTTGAAAACAAAAAACCAGGAAAGTAAAAGCTACCATTCAGGCAAAAATAGGCACCTTTCAATGAAAAACGCAAAAAACAAATGGTAGCTTAGACTAAGTCAATCTCTGAAAAGTTAAAAAAATTATTCATGCAGCATAATGTATTTATCCACTTTGACTTTTTTGAGTGAAATTAGACAAACGAATAGTTTTAATCAAATTAAAACGGTAATGTGTTTTGCATGAAAATGAGTTTAATGGATTTACCGTATTCAAAACTTTCAAAATTGTATTTGATTATATTAATATTGAATAGTTGAGAGTAGTTGAGATGATAAACATTAAAGCTGAGGATAGTTTTGCTTCTGCAAAGAATCAAGTCAACTGTTTTATTAATTCAAAAGTTAAAACTTATATGTTAGAGTAGGCCATTTGGTGTTGTTTTGAAGTTTGTATATTTGGCGAATGAATGGAGTACATTCGGTTCAACAAAAAAAAAGTTAATCGATTCGTGTTCCTTAGAAAAACTATGTTCTCTACGATGCTACGCCCAGAAACTCTTCTCAACCCCTTCTCCCTTGCCATTTTGCTTTTCCAGCATACAAATTCGACACCAAATCATAAGCGCTTGCACTCCCAGGTTCTATACTCAACAACCGTCTCCCTACCCGTTCTCCCATTTTCGTGTTCCCATTAGCCAAGCAAGAAGCAATGAATGTCCCTAAGGCAGAACTGTTTTCTCTCAACAGAACACAGTTCAGAAGATGAAATGCTTCCTCGAGCATCCCTCCTCGGCTTAGCAAGTCAACCACACATCCAAAATGCTCATCAGATGGGACTAATCTGTGTTCTTTTAGTCATTGTTTTGAAAACAGACAAACCCTCTGGTAAAGACCCTGCATGGCTGCAGGCTAGTAGCCCCACCTTTTCTGCTCTCATTTGGTTGAATAACTGCAGTGCCTGAACATAATCCCCGTGCATTCTACCAAACAAAGACAATTCTGAAGCACTCCAGTGCCTGAACACAACTCCGTGTCTTTACTATTATGGAGGATTGAAAAACTTATGAAACAAGATCACAATTCTGAAGAAATTCCCAACTTGCAGCTGTCATGGGTGTTAGTATGAACTTGAACATGACATATAAGAATGATCCTCCACATAACATGATAGGTTTCATAGATGCTGCCTAAAGGGAACTGAAAATCGTGTGTGTCTGTAGACAATAAAGAAAAGGCATGACTGCCACAAATTTAGCATAACAAAATCATCAAGAACAGGAACAACAACAAAAAGCACTAGAGTCCCAGAAATCAGTTTCGGGCATCAGTTCAGTGTCACAAGAATTTAAAATTCAATGTAAAGTGTAATAAAATGTTAAAGCACACATAATCTGTCACACATAAGAATGTATATCCGTTTTGTGTCGATAGAGGTGAGTGCCGAACAGGACCTGAGAGCTTTCCATTTGTCTCCTGCCGCTTCGAATAGCATCCTTTAAATGCTTCTAGGACTGCAAACGGCAACAAAGAAGCAAAGTGGTGCAACATAGGATTTAGAGCTTATGGCCCTAGAGTATTTATTAATATCAAGTATGATAAAAATGCAGAAGGGGGTGGGGTGTGTTAAACTGCTTACCATTTCTTACATGGAGACAATGCGTGTGTAATTTAAGAATGCTCATCATCCTTACCACCTACATATATGTATATGATCAACGAATACAAACTACTCTAAAACGTACCATACGACAAAAATATAATAGGAGTAACATGATATTACTTGGTGCATACAAATTACGTTCACAAATGGGTCAATTTAGGACTTACTAAAATGAGAATTACTTTGAATAACCTCCGCAAGCAAGGATGTGAATGATTTCCCTCTGCCATTATGGTCTACACCGACAACTTCAGGCCTCTGAAGGATAATATTTATAAAATTTAAAGATTTACTTACACAATATGATATAATGTAAGCACTTCACATACCATCGGAAATTGAAGCATTGGTGGAACTAATGGAACATGAGTCGTTTGAAGAGGTGTCCCATACAGGTACGCTAAAGCACCGAAATCATTTCTTATAGCATTGTAAGGAGGGGAAATACATGTATATTTGATGGAGTATTCTGTAACATAATTCAAGGAAATGAGGTCCATTACAAGAGCTTTTCAACGCATGCAAAAACATAAAAAAAACTAGGAGTATCAACAAAACACGTATAAAAGAATTCATTATTAAAAATTCACTCTGGACCAACCTTTAAATTCTCATTCATGTCTTTTCCCATATTTACGTTCTCAAAAAATTTTCTCCTTTTCTTCTGAGACTTTTTTGCTTCTTTACACTGTAACAGGGAAAAAAATATAAATAGAAATAAATGTCTACTGTGCACTGTCAAAGTTGTGAAGAACATATCACCATTATAAATAACCTTAACACTTACGTAGTTTATGAGTACCACACTGATAAAATAGAAATTTCTCTATCCTAAATAACACAAAAGTGCTTAAACTTTATCATCATTATTCATTCATTTATTTAAAAAATGCGGTGTCCCAAGTGTACTATGTCTCATCAGAAAGTTTTACTCCACACTTTTTCCTCAGTTGCATCATTTTCTTTACCCCATTTGAGTTTGAGGTATAGGTCAGATGCCAAAGGCTTACAGCAGCAAGAAACTCTTGAAGCACTGCGAAAAGCCATTAGAAGTCGTTTTACATTAGCACCGTCTTCAGAGTTTTTCTACATCATATTTATGTTATTTCTCAGTACGGTTTGAACTTTGAAGGTATCTGAGATGAAGGCAGAATATTTTCATCCAAGAGAAGATGTCATATTGCAAAATGAAGCACCAACAGATTTGTACATACTAGTAACTGGGTCACTGGTGAGAACTGATGCTAGTTTGGAAACTACTGGAAATAATGCACTTACCATACAATTTTCATCAATTGCATATTTACTTTAATCTGTAAGTACATTTAATTTTAGAGTAAAAATGGTTAACACGAACTGATAAAGTGGCATCAGCATAAGTTGTACATCGTTGTGCAGGAAGTCATATCTCAAAGGAATGGAGTACAACAGGTGATCTTTCACTTACAAGCTATATCACACTCTTTAGATATATACATAATTACTAACATTGTTATAATAACAATAATGAGAAAGGCACACTTATTAGGAGGTTGGAGAGTTGAAGGCAGGGATATTTGTGGAGAAATTGGTGTTCTCTGTTATCGTCCACAAGTTTTTACCATTAGGACAAAAAGACTGGGCCAGCTGCTCCACTTGGATCGCACATCATTTTTTAACATTGTTAAAGTGAATGTATATGGGATTAGAATGAGCAAAAAATGCATGAAAATCATGAAAACACAGTAGAATCCCATGAGAGTAATAAAGACAGGGAGCAAAAGGAATATTTTTACTTACCCTATCCTTCAAAGGACGTTTCTCATTGTATTTGCTGCCGATATCATCATTATTATCCACTTCAATTACCTCATTTGTGAAAATAGTTTCCTGACCAAGATTTTGATCAGACTGGAAGCCTTGTCTATCCTGCTACACAATTATAAAGTGCTCAAAAAAATTGAAACTTTTATCCACACAAATTTTAATCGGAATAAACAAAACATGAAGTACTCTCTATACTTTAATCAGTGGATCACTTTTTTGTAATCAGTGGATCACTTTTTTGTACTTGATCTGTCCTGGAGGGTGTATCTCACTGGATACAGAATTCATCTAGTTATATTAGTTCGTTTGGGAGAAAAATGAGGAAGGGGGAGAACAGAAAGGAACAAAGGCTTATAGCTGTTTGCTTTGCTGCTGGTTGTCATCTCCTACGAAAGTCAAGGAATATTAAGGTTTACAAGAACATGGAGACCACCACGGAGCATATAGTGAAGTCTATCAAATCTGCCATTGTGATGGCAGTTGGGGATAAACTTGATATAATTGCTTGAGGCTTATGTTTTGTAGAGTGTTACTAATTTGTGTTAATTATTTGTGCTTTTTTTTTTTAAAAAATAATTCTGACCCAACATCCACAACAATGCTCATTACCCTATATCTATAAATTCACAAAAATATCAAATGAAGATTGAAGAGCCACTTTCTCTTCGGTTTTTTGTATCACAGTTGCTTGAAGTATAAATGTTCCACTCTGTCTATACGTATGCTCACATTTAAAAAAAAACTAGAAATTCAAAAATAAAATTTTTGCAGTTCTGAATTTCACACTGACTTTCAGCCTGAACTAGAGATCTAAATTCAAAATTTTGATTTTTTTACTGGAATAGGTTTCTGGCTTCCTAGCACCCAAAAGCTAAACCTTTTCTACTTGCCCCATTCCGGTTCTTAACTCGATTACATGAATCATTGATCAACCCATAAAAATTACATAAACTGATCCATAAAAGAATGTCAAATTCACAAGGAATGATTTTTTTGATGACTACCTTAATTCAAGCTACAGAGTTCAAGATTGAAAACCTTCTCACTAAATAAAGCCTTTTTTTATTAATTCTAGCATAAACATAATGAAATACCAAATCCAAGAAAAAGAACCTCAAAAAATTCAAAAACTATTACTTTCAAAAAATTCAAGTAAAGGTGTTCAGTGCCACAAGGATTTCGAATCTGGAATTGAAACTCACTAAAGAAGAATAAAGAAGTAGAAAAAGTGAAGATGGTGGATTAACATCCGACTTAATTCTTTGTCTTAATTAGGGTTGGAAATTGAATAGCAAAAGTGAAGATCAATAAATTGAGTGGAGACTATTACCTTTGATTGAAGAAGACGAACAAACTGATCGGGGGTTTTCTCTACGATGGCGGCCGGCGACTATCTGGCTATGCACTGTGACGGCAAAGCAGGGGTCCTTCTTCTCGTGCGCTGCAGTGACGGCAAAGCAAGAGGGGGGCTGGTGCCAAGAGAGTATATCAAAAGCAAATAAAAAATTCCCTAGTTAACGGAAGTTGGTAAACGGAAGACAGCAGATAATTGGGAATGCAGATTTCAAAAAAAAAACGGGGGTATTTTGCAATTTCTGAAAATTAATATGAGGTGGATAATTTTAATAAAACTCATATTTATTTATCCACATGGCAACCATTTAGTGGAGGGGCATGGATGCCCCTTCATTTTGCAAGGCACCGGAGCAAAGCCCTAAAAATAATTAATAAATAAAAAAAATAAGTTGAGGAGAACATATGACGACTATATTTTTGGGACATGACCTACTTCCAATAATGTTTAATTGAATTTGACAAAATACACTGTATGTGTCCACGACCTCCATTTCCAAAGTCTATAAATATCGAAATGGGCTCTGCATTTGATTCTAAACCCCGAAGCTTCTCTCTACCATACTACGTACACACACACAGTTTGTTTTCATCTAGTAACTCTTCCACTATTATCAGTCTATATATTATTTTTATTATTACTATATTATTAAAAGAGAATGGCAAATCCAAACACCCAAAAAAAAAACACTAGTTTTTATAACTTTCATGTGCCTAGCTAGTGTTGCTCTCTGAAGCACTACGTACCGTCAAGAACAATCCTAAAAATGGCATCCATCAGAATTTGGTTAAATTAATAACCCATCCCCTTTGCAATTGAGACCATTGGGAAAATCCTATCAAAAGAAGATACCTGCAGGAGGAACCAGCTGAAACCTTATCCCCAGATCCCCGGCCATCACAACCGTAAATAAATTAAATAATACTAATAATGTCATGCGAGGTACCTACGTTCCTTCCTTTATGCAGCAAGCAAATATCCAAATTAAATAACACACTCTCTCTTTTTTTTGTCCCTTAAAACATTTCCGTTTTTTTTCTTTTTATTCGTCCCAAAAAAAAATTTATTTCACTTTCTATTAAAAAATCACTTTCACTCATCCTGATTTTTATGTTACCTATCACATCATATATAGTTATCATACTTATAATTTACTCATCGTTTTATTATTCTATTAAAAGTCAAAAGGATCGGGAAAAGGTTTTAAGAGACGGAAGAGCATTATTATACCTCCTTCGTCCCTAAAATATTGTCATATTTGACTTCTTTTGTCAAATTGTGGCAACCTTTGACCATGAATTAAATATACTTTAAAATAATTAAAATGTTATAAAAATTTGATATTCCAAAACTATAGTTTAAAATAAACCCAATTTTACTAAATTTACATCATAACTAAGGCCCCGTTCCGTTCAACTTATTTTTTCTTATTTTTTCTTATTCTTATTAAAATCAGATCAGATCAGATCAAATCAGACCAGATCAGATCATATCAGATTGAATCAGATCAGATCAGATCAGATCCTATCAGATCAGATCCAATCAGATCAGATCCAATCAGATCAGATCAGATCCAATCAGATCAGATCAGATCAGGACTTATTAAAATAAGATCTCATCAAGAATTATTATTATTATTATTATTATTATTATTATTATTATGATCATCATCATCATCGTCATTATTATTATTATTATTATTATTATTATTATTGTTCTTAAAAATGAAAAAGAATAAACTTTAGAAATAGGTTAAATAAAAAGCTGAGAAAGTAATCCTTAATTATTAGACGTCGGAAAAATTAGTTTTAAAATACATTGACATTGTCAATCTAATTCTACTTTTAAAATATATTTTTATTGCTACTTGTAATTTGAGTTTCTAAACTTTTGATCTTTTATAAGGATGAGATATTTTAATAAAAATACTATCTCTTCTATATATTGATTATCTAAATTTAATTAATTTTAAATGTATATCTAAATTAAATATTTATTCTAATGTATAATTCTAATTTTACAAAAAAATAATCATAAAATAAAAA